TACCTAGGTACCTACCTAAGGTAAGGCGAGGTACCTAGGTAGTTAGGTGGTAGGTAGGTTGGTCCTAGGCAACTGGCAGGTAGGGAGCCAGCGGGCTGTACTTGGGTACCCCACTCACTCGGCAGCGCCTGCAGTCCAGGTCGATACCTCGGCCCGCATCAGCAGCAGCAACAGGAGCAGGGTGCTAGACCATGCGGCGCTTGCCCAATCAAGGCTGGACACCCCGTGACAAAGACCCCGGGCGTCGCTCTGTCGACTCCGTCTCCCGTTGGCATCTACCTTCTTTTGCGCCGACATGGTTCTGGCCGACCATGATCGAGACACCAGCTCAGCCGCCTATCGTTTTTGTCATAGCTCCCCTGATCCCCGACCCCCGACAGCCCTTGGCGGGCACCATGCGACGTGAACGAATGCCATGACATTGATCGTAGATATACACGACTGTTGTACAAAAGAGTCCCTGCGCCCAAGGCCAGATGACTGAGCTCCCTCCACCCGCTCACCCACCCACCCACGACAACTAGACACTGTGGTGGTGTATGGTACAATCCTCCAGCGCTCTCCCCTGCCGTCTAGTCCTAGTTTCTGCCCTGCTTTGCGGGCTTGGGCCCCGCTTGCCTCTGCGCGACCACCAACATCTCGGCCATGGCCTCTTTGCTTAGCGTCTGCTGTGCAACGATGGAAGGCCCGCCCAGCATCGCGTCGATCATCTTCTGCCCGTCCACCAGTTGTCCCTCGGCCTCCTTGCCGGCGTCCAGCTGCTTGGCCTGCTCCCGCAACGCCGCCAGCTCCTTCTTACGGTCAGGCGTCAACCGCCACGCCTTGGGGAACTTGGGCTTAACCACCGGCTTGTAGTGTCGCGTATCCAGAGGAATGTCCTCGAATGTGTCCTTGGGGTCCTGTAGTCTGACGTTAATCCTCTGTTCGTGCCGCTTGCCTCTCGCCAGCGAGCGAATGCCTTACCTTGGCCGCAGCCACGAGCGTGTCCACCTGGTCCGCGAGGTATCGCTTGTTCTGCGCGGCGTGGTCGAAGCTCTCGCAGCTCATCTTGATCGTGTCCTTGCCCGGGTCGTACCGCGTTCCCGCCAGCTTCTTGAGCTTGTTCGCCTGCACCGGCGTCAAGCCCAGGTCGGCCGGCGAGAACTGGACGACCACCTTCTTCTCTGCCGGGTGGTTCTCGCCCATGTATGTCGTGTATCGGTATCGCAGCACCTGCTCCTTCGTCGGCGGCTCAAACGGCTTGGCGAGTTCTATTGTTTTTCCCCCCATGTTAGCACGCCACGCGTATTGTCCCCCTTCGCATCGCGGTCCCTTCTTACTCGATAGCAGGGGCATCTCCCAGGCGGCCACGCGGGCGTAGTGTCGGTGTTCCCTGATCTCGTCCAGCTTGCCGTGCGCTAGGGACGTGATGTCGTCTTCGTCGAACTCGGCGCCCGTATCCTCCGTCACCGTCTCCGGATCGAGCTCGTCGTAGAAGAGCGACGAGCGCTGCGCCGGCTTCTGCCTGATCAGCTCCCTGTACTGCGCGTCAAAGGCCTGCTCCTTGCGAAGCTCGGGCTCCTCCGCCGACAGAAAGTCGTTCAGTGACGCCGGCGAGTCGGGGCCCTCGTCCTCCCTGATCGCCGCCTCCAGCGCCTTGAGCTGCTCTGGCGAAAGGTCCTTGAAGGCATCCTCGAGGTGCTCGTACGGGTTGGCCGAGCCCCGGTTGCGCCCGCCGCCGGGCGCCCACGTTGTCGCCGTCGTTGTGAGGCCGCGGCGTGGCGCCATTGAAAGGCCAGCCGTGGGTAGCAGTCGCGCGGCGGACGCCTGGCGGCATGTTCGGAGACATAGCCGTACGGCGTATCCTGCTGCGGCCATTGTGGCGGTTGTGTTGATCGAATGTGGTGTTGGGTCGGTTGCAGGTGGCTTCCTCCTTGCGATGTTCGAGAGGCTCCAAAAATTTTGGCGTGTTCAGGATGGCTGCACCGCCACATGCGCTAGTCAGCCATTTCACAGTGTGTCAGCCACAGGCCTGGCCCCGTCCCTCGGGAGCTTCAACGACAGTTCGTCAATCTCTACAGCGGAGGTTCAAACACAGCACAAGTCGGATCAAGTTCTATCCTCGACCTAATGGAGCTTTTAGGTTGACTTGCCCAGGCGATCCTTCCCCTCGCGTGGTGTCAGGTCCTGAAATTGCTCGCTTGATGTCCGCGAAGTATGCTGAGGAGGCACAGATCGAAGACGATTCCTGGCCAACTTCGCGCGAGCCTGGTTCGTGTTGGGTTGGGAGAGCATAGCGATCAACCCCTTGACAGCATCCTTGCTTCGTTCTGTCTTGAAATTCCACACCACTCCTGCCTATATCCTCATGGCCCTGTCATTGCGAGTCGCTGGATAGCTCTCTCCTGCTGCTGCAGTGATTCCCTAGTACACATGCACCATGAGCTTGATATTTCTTGCAACCTGTTCTAGTTCCCCTTGCCAAGTTCCCTTCTCGTGAAATTCTCGACTCATTCAATGCCATGGTTGACCTTCGGACTGTCATAGTCCGACCTCAGCATCGGAGTCTAGAGCGTTCACTCGGCCCTGATGACACGTCCCGCTTCTTGCATACGCTGACACCAGTGGCTCGACGGAGGGACACTTGCCATGCGTTGGTTGCCTGGTGATGCATGACATTTGACTGGGTGTTTGATTATTCCCTACCTAGAGCATCTGCCCTGAGGATGTAACATCAACGTGGCGCTGGCCGGAAACTGCTTCGGAAACTGCGCCGAATATCTTACGATCACTCAAGGTCACCTGGAACATTTCCCCGACAACTACATGCGCAATAGATGTCTAGTCGTTCAGCCGGGTCTACACTCAAATGTATTTGCCACGAATCTCTTTGTACTGAGCTCTCCTTGTGAGTAGCTCATTGGTACAGTTAACCGTCACTGCTCTCCATTCTTTCATATACTGCGCTGTCTAGAAATCCCTACCTGTGCTTTGAGTTGGGTACACACGACATATGTTAACAGATACAATCATGGCTATCGATAAATCTGCCTCGCTGTTGTGACCAAAGCGTTCCGCTGTGATCATTGTGGTCAAAGCTACTCAGGTCCATTACCTTTCAATGTCGATACCATAAGACCGCCCGTTCACTTGCATCTGGCCGCTACATCCGGTTGTCGTCGTCCGGCCGCCACCTGGTCGTTTAGTAACCTGATGGCCTGGGTCCCCGTTAGTCCTCGTCATCGCTGTTGTTGTTGTCGATGTCGTCGCCGCCGTGGCCGTTGTTGTTATTCAGCAGGCGCTATTGTCGGCCTTGACTCTTCTTGAGCTACTGATCTTCTACTCCGAGAAGGCACCCAAAACCCGCCGTTGGGTTCAACGTTCACCGTTTCAACTCCCATCTCTTACTTGGCTGATCAGCCTCGTCCTTTTCTCGACCTAAGTACCAACCACACGGTCACGACAGCAGGCAAAAACATCATGGAGCCTAAACCCCCCAATGATGGATCTCGCCCCATGTTCGTGAGCAAGCGTGTCATGGGAGCTCACGACTCCTTGGAGCAGGTCATCGTAACCGACAACCCCATCACTGCCAGCCGACCCCTCCCCGTTCCGGTCCGAGAAGCCCATGCTGTGGAAAGGCCCCGCACGCCGACTGGAAAGTCATCAATCCACTGGGATGATGGCGTCGATCCGGTCGTCTTACCCCGTGCCTTCAAGACCCCTCGCGGCTACATGAGCCCTTTTGTCGACCAGAACGGCAGCCCCATCCAGCGCAGCCTCCGTCGTGCGATCCCCCCCGTGGAAAGTACCAGGGCCTCCCTGGTCGAGGGACCTCTCGCAGGCAACGATGTTCCTCCCAACTATGAGAGATTCTACCAAGAGCTCCGGGCTGAGAACCCGTACCCGAACCCTCAGTTCCGCCCCGTCGGCCGACCCCTCGGCCCTCGTCCCATGCACAAGCGCAGCGAGTACGACGGCAGCTTCAGCAGCCCCGATCTTGCTAGCGCCGCCGACCACAACGAGCCCAACGTCAGCTCTGCCGGTCCCAAGCTTCGGGGTAAGCGTTCCCGCGATGCCATGCAGCGCACCAATACCATGGCTGGTCGCGATGCTGCTCGGGAGCGTGAAATCCGCGAAGCCCATCACAGACAAGCCCTGGAGGAGGATGTCAATGACGGTGGTTCGTCCGGAGACGACAGCGACGGTGATTCGACTCCCAAGGCTTCCATCCTCAACAAACATTTGTACAACCAGAAGGTCGTCCTTGACTCCATGGACCTGGATAGGGTCCAGTAGTAGGCGGCATTCCACAGTCGCTTGTGATAACAGGTATGTCAAGAAACGTCCGACAAAACCACTCTCTCTGACCACTCGGTAGGAAGTTCTGATACACCATGGCTGGTAATAACATAGCCGCCTGTGCGGTGCATGTCTGCATCGCGGGCTAGGCTCACTCACCACTTGGCACAGGATACATCTGGGTGGAACAGCTGTAGAGGAGGGACAATCGAATCGAAGGCCGTGTGTAGGATAGAATCAAAGACCAGACAAGAGGATCAAACGAGAGAAATCGGCCGAAAGCTGCAATACAGGAAATGCCTTTTCAAGCAATGTTCTTGCTTTGTGACGCTTGTCTGATTAAGGTGAGGCCCGTGAACCTTACCTACCTAGGTACCTAAGGTACCTTACCCATTCTACCTCCTAGGTAGGTAGGTCGGTGGGCAGCTACAGGTACCCGAGATTGAGCTATCTTATGCCATGGCAAGGGTATCCATCAATCGAGGCGAGGTGATATAGAGCAAACCGATCTTGTTCCCTCCTCTCTCGCCTTATCCAATATCGCATTTTCTTTGAACAGCAGCGATAAGCGCCATCGCGACAGTTGACCACATTCACGGACCTGGACTGAAAGCTGGCGCCCGCAAATGACATCCCACTCCGACCACACGCACCTGTAACCACAACCCCGCCAACAGGTTGTAGCCCATGCCAAAAGGCCCTGTCCAGCTCCACCGCCAACAACGCCAACCATTCCCGATACATCGACCCAAATCCAGGGAACGCCCTATAAACCATGTTTCCCGCTCCCCCCTCCTTCCACGACGCCCAGCCTAACCAGCCTCTTCCTCTCCCTAACCGCCAGGGACCCCAAACAGGCGCCGTGTCCGCCCAGCAACAAGCTCTCGCTCAAGCGCAGCTCTACCAGCAGCAGCAGCAGCAACAGCAGCAGCAGCAGCAGCAGCAACAGCAGCAACAGCAACAGCAGCAGCAGCAACAACACCAACAAGCGCTTCTCCTCATGAACGGCGTCAACGGGGGAGGCAATGCGCCCAACGGCATCGGCGTGGCCACCCCGGCCGGCCAGCAGGCCGAACTCAACTACATCTATGGCCTCGTCGAAGAGCTGAGCAGGCAGCTTGCCGAGAACCGGCGCGCCACAGAAGAGATCGTGTCCGGCCTTGGTCGCGTGCGCAGCCGGGCCCGCATCCAGGGGCTGAGCAACGAGGAGCTCATCAACGTCGCCGCCGAGGACATCAACGGTGCGCTTTGCCTGCGCCTGTGGCCCTCGACCAGAAGAAGCAGCTTGCTGACCATCTCCCAGCCCAGGAACAAAACATCGACACGCTCATCTCCCTCCTCTCGGAATCGCTCGACAAGGCAAAGTACAGCCGCGACGCCAACGCCCAGCTCCTGACGCAGTACGCAACCGCCCTGGCGTCCATGCTCAAGCAGTTCCACGAGTACAAAGCCAAGCATGTCGCCGACGTGTCGTCCTGGCACCGCTCCTACCGGTCGCAGCTCGCCGAGGCGCGCGCCGAGAACAGCAAGCTGCGTGAGCAAATCTGGGAGATGCAGGACCGCGCCGGCAAGGCCAACGGCCTGCTACGCGAGTTCCGGCGAACCTACGACGAGGACGCCGAGCGGTGGGACCGCCGCGTCGGCGACACGGCGGCGCGTCAGGAGCTGCGCTTCTGGAAGCGCATGGCCATGCCCGACTTGCCCGACGATGACCCGTACTGGAGCGACGACGATGACATTGTCGACCCCGCCGAGAAGGAGCGTTTGCAGGACGTGGAGCGCAAAAACGAGCAGGATCAGCTTGCGGGAAGCCAGATGGAGAACGACGACGAGGGCCAGCAGATGCAGATGCATCACCTGCAGGGAGACAACGCCGGCGTAGGCGGCGTTGGATGCGCGGGATTCGGGCATCTCGGCGGGCATTCCGACGAACCCTTCCGGGCCTTTGAAGCATGGCATCGAGCACGGGGTCTTCGGGGCAGTAGCCGCCGCCAAGGACATTCATCACTTTCTATCACTGCATGGAGCGCGGCGTTTTGGACTATCACTCATCAGGCGTACGACGTCTGTTCTAGGCATGTACAAAACTCAATACTATACCACTTGGGGGGCCTCGAAGCATCCCAAGAACTCGAGCCCAGAAATTCTGTGCCAGCCATGTGCCCATTATGCCGGTGTCTCCTCTTCCTTGCTCTCTGGAAGACTGGTGGCCGGACTTTCTTTACAGCAAAGCTAGAAACGCCCAGGGCGAGCCATCACCCCTCTGGCCGTCGAGCTTGTCTTGACGCATCAGGGCCTAGAAGCCTTGTCCAACATGCGAAATACGTGACCGACAGGCTTTGTGTGAGACTTGTTACGAACTAGGTATTGAAGGTAGGCAAGTTTGTGCCTTGTCCTGGTCATCGCAGAATTATCACAACTACCATGCTGTATGGAAGAGGTCAAGGCTATGTTCCTGTCTTTTGGGGGGGATCCAAGGACCAGCTGATGCTGGAGGGTGTCTCCCGGCCTCCGGCGCAAGCAGAGCCTCTTTCAATCCGGATCAGACCCCCCTACGTCTATCATGGTCGGTTCGGATGAAGCCACCACAGGCAAGTCAGGTCGAGGCTCAGTGGCAACATAGTTTCGCCACCGACAAAGATTATTTCAAGGCCACTCCGAACCTTGTAGGGAACAAACCTTCAGCCTGTCACTCGTTGTCATCGTCAGATCTCCCCTTGCCTGGATGCTAACCGATGGTCATCCCATTGCTGCTGCTGTGAACTAGATGGCGTAACGATACTATTCATTGCAAGCGAAGAGAGGATACAGTTTCAATTGCTCAAGTGTGTGAATACTATGACGAGCAGTTTACCACAGAGCAGAAGCCTGGACGAGACGAGACACGCATTGGCCTCTGTGAGCAGTTGGTGCCTCGGAATGATGCCTGGCGATGAGGGTTTTCGTTGAGAATGCCTACTGGCGATGCCTCATTCCCGAGTCGTAGAAGAGCATCAAGGAAGGTAGCAAAGGAAAGGACGCCCCAAAGTCAGTCCTTCCGGGGATGATTTTCGGATCCGGCCTTATCTCACCACCTACTCCCTAGTTCAGTTACCTTGGGTACTTCCCCACAACACGAGGATCATGCCTCTTCGGCGCGTCACGATGCTTATCAGTGGACGGTGGCTATGGACAAAGAGAACACCCTGAGGCTGCTCGCTCGGCCGTGCATGACTGCCACCCGCTCCTCGAGCTACATATATCATTCCATTGTGGCCATCCGAGCATGTACTAACGGCCGTAGCTTGGAGTCTCGTCTCGCCCTTCTACTCCGTCGGCCTTTTTTTACGTCCAGAGTTTCCATCTCTACACTATCCACAACATCAATGCCCTAGAAGTCAGCACAACTCAGATCATACGTACCAAAACTGCACCATGGACGAATCTCAGAGCGCAGATCCTGGGCCGAGCCATGTGCAGGTCACGGAGAAGCCTCGCGCAGACAGCTCGGCATCAATGCCTTCAATGGGCAATCAGACGTCTCAAACGACCAATGACGGCACCGTCACCCTAGTAGGGCCACCTGCTCCGCAAAGCGAGGGTGACAAATTAAGGAGGAATATCAGCATTCGACACATGGTATTTATCGCCTTGGGAGGCTCTATCGGCGCCGGGCTCTTTGTCGGATCAGGTGGCGCGTTGCACGCTGGCGGTCCGCTCAGCTTGGTCCTGAGCTTCGCTATTGTCGGTGTTGGTGTGACTGTCACCATGGGAAGCTTGGGAGAGCTCGCGGGTATGTTCTCCGGCTTTCCTTACTGCCGCCACGAACTGACAGCGCCAGCTACGTACCCTGTGGCAGGCTCGTTTTACGAATACGCCAGGCGCTTCATCTCCGAGCCTTGGGGGTTCACCATGGGATGGAACTTTGTCTTCGCCTGGCTCATCATATTTCCCTTCGAGCTCAGTTGCATTGTCTCCCAAATCAGATTTTGGAACGAGACTGTGTCGCCCGCTGTCATCATCTCGCCAATTCTGGCTGGGCTGATCGCCCTCTCGTTTGGAGGATCTCGATTTTACGGCGAGGTCGAACATGGCCTCGGGATTGCAAAGGTCAGCGCCTTGACGATTTTCATAGGAATGGCGATTGCAATCATGGCCGGGGCTGTCCCATCCGATGCGAGGTAAATACAGCAATTTCGCCGTGAAGGAGGATTTCACTAACATATAACAGACACGGCACGGGCGTGACATTTTGGACGACACGCGACGTCATCGCAAACGGATTCCCTGGGTTCATGACCCTATTTCGTATCGCAGGCATGGCGTACGGAGGGACTGAGCTTCTCGGCATGACGGCCGCTGAGTGCAACAACCCTCGCCGAGCTCTTCCGCTCGCTACCAAGATTACCTTCTTCAGGATTGCCATCTTCTATGTTCTCACTCTCCTGTTCCTCGGCTTCGTCGTTGACTCCCAGGATCCGGGTCTCGCAAAGATTGGGCATGGCGCCCAGGTCAGCCCTTTTACTCTGGCTGCGCAGCGAGCGGGCATCACAGTGCTACCGGATCTATTCAACGTCTTCGTGGTATTGGCACTGCTTTCCATGGCCAACGCCAGCATCTATGCCTCTAGCGCGCGCTGCAGGCTCTCTGCGAGCAGGGCATGGGACCTCGCTTTGCAGCTACCATCAAGTGGGGTGTGCCTATCTATGCTTTTGCTCTGGCCTTTACCATCGGCCTGACCGCCTTTGTCAACGTGGCACCGGGAGGCGCTGTTATATTCGACTGGCTGTTGAGTCTTTCTGGAGCCTGCAACTACTATACCTGGCTCTCTATCTGCGCCAGCCATATTCGCTTTCGCCGGGCGTGGCACACACAAGGCCACAGTCTCGACGAGCTCTTGTGGACCAGTCCTTTCGGCGTATTGGGCTCATGGATCGGCATTGCGATTTGCAGTACAGGTCTCCTCGCGAGCATCGTCACCTCCATTTACCCCCTGTACGGAATCCACAGCGCACAGGACGCTGTCCGTGACAATCTAGGCATCGCCATCCCGATGGTCGTGTTGGCCTCGTACTGCTCGTGGGAGAAGCTTCACCGCAAAAGGACACCAGTCGTGATGATCGCCCCTGCTGACATGGATCTGACGACGGGTTTGCGATGGAGGGGCTCCTACCTGGTGGATCTGGAGGATGCGCCCCGCGAAGAGGCACCAAAGTCTTCAACATGATAACTACATAGACAGCGTAGCTTGGTTCCAAGCATGAAAGCAGCACTGTTGGAAAGACTGATGAAGATGTATGTGATCATGTTCTTCTAGAATGATGGTAACCCACTTCGCTGAAATCTATCTGTCTCATGCGCTTTGGCGAAGAACACAACAAGAACCTCTTATCCCCCTTCCACGAGCTCACGACATATATATACTCAGTGCCTAGTCATGGAAGGAATATTCTTATCTCACAATCATACTTGTCCTCAAGGGCTACAACATGCTACCATACATCAACACCATTTTCATTCTTTTCATCGCTATACCACAACAGTCTGTTGTCACACGCCTCGCGACAGGCAACCCAGAACGCCACCCGGGGTCTTTCTCAGTTACGAGACCCAATACCACCCAGATACACACTTGATACTACATGCCCCTCCCTGGGCCCCCAGTCCTGTCGGCGTAGCCTGTCCAGACGCCAACTTCCCGTGGCGCAGCAATCGCAACTCAGTAGCCGCTCTGCTCCCGCCGGGACCCATCGTCCCCGTCCTTGCCGCGACCCTCGGCCGCCTCGCCGGCCTCCTTGATGCCCTGTTCATCACCCCGCAGCTTGGCAAAGTAGGCCTTGATGTCCTCGGCGCCGATGGCCTGGCCGCTCTCGGCAAACTGCTTGAAGAAGGGCGTCAGCTGCTCCTTGAGGTGGTTGTAGGCCATGACGCCCTCGATGGCGCGTACGCGGTCGACGTTGCGCAGGGCGCTCTCGCCGCGCTCGAGGAGGCTGCCGCTGCCGTTGGTCGAGCCGCCGCCGTTGTCGGAGCCGCCGCCGTCGGAGAGCGGCGGCTCGTACGTTTCCTCCTCCTCGAGGAGCTGCGGGTGCGCGTTGAGCTTGCCGACGTAGCAGCTGGAGCAGCGGCATAGGTTCTCGCGGAAGGTTTCGGCGAAGAAGAGGGAGAAGGCCTCGGCCGGCGGCGTGGGCAGGGCGCTCCACTTGCATTCCGCGGCCGGCTCGGCGTTTGGGGCCGGTGCGGCGTGACTGGGCGCCTCGGGGGCGGGCTTGTCTGTACTGTCTGGTGTGGGACCCAGCTCGCTCTTGGCGCGCTTGGATTGTGATTCGTCCTCGAGCTCGTCCTCGGCCTTGCGCTTGTTCGAGGTGCCGTTCGTCTCCTCCATGGACGGCCTCTCCGCCTTCTTCTCTTGATGAGCAAAGACGGCAGGGAGGAAACCGTTGGTGCCGGCGTACTTCCCGATCCAGGGGTGCGCCCCCACACACTTGTAGCAGAGGAAGCCTTCAAAGTCGTCTTCGGCAGGGAATCCGGGGGGCATTGGTGGATCTTCGTCCTCGTCGTCCTCAGCCTCGGCCGAAGCCTCGTTGGCGGCAGGTGCAGCGCCATTGGGCCTCTCCTCAGCATCCTCTGTGATTGTTGGCAGTGAGCCACCCTCGGCCGCCTGGTCCTCTGGTTTGGCGATGCCACCGCCCTTGGGTTCCTTGGTCTCCTTCATGGCCTCGAACCATGCGGGGCCCATGCCGACGAGACAGCCGGGGTGGTACCAATCCTCGCCGCAGCCGCCCGTCTCGGTGGTGCCGAGTCCGAGACACTGGAACATGGTGCCCTTTTGCTGGAACGGGTCGTAGTCGCATTCGCAGCCGCAGAACCTGTTGCGGAAGTTCTGGTTGTAGCGGTTGTTGACGTCGGGCTCCTCCGAGTGGACGCCGCCCTTGGTGTTGGTCGCCGGGTTGATGCGCAGGGAGCACGGGTTCGTCGTGGGCAGGCGCGTCGTGCCGCAGTCGCAGGTGAAGTTGCGCTTGGTGAAGATCTCGACGAGCGTGTGTTCGCCGTGGCACTGGACGGAGCAGGAGTAGCAGACGCCTGCTGGGGTGAAGGGGTCGGCGGGGTTCTTGGGGGCGGGCGTGCAGGTCAAGCAGGCGAAGACGCTCTGGCGAAGCGGACCGAGTACTTTGGTGCAGTTTTCGATGCTCTGTTGAGATGGGACCAGGTCAGCGTTGGGGCCCCCCCCATGAATGATGTGTGCATCACCCCATGAATGATGTGTGTATCAGCGGCATCGGTGACGTACATAGGGCAGAGCTTCGCGGGCGTCGGCCTCCAGCTGCATCTGCTCGCGGATGAATTCGGCTGCGGTCTGCGAGTCGGTCGACTTTTGCGATGAGAAGCTGTCGCTACGCTTGTGACTGGGAACGCCATCGTTGGCCATCGCAGTCGACGACACGACAGCTTCAGCTGGAGGGGGAGGGGGGTCCATCAGAGCGATGGTCGTAGGGAGACACGTTTTTTTTTTTTTTTTTTCGTAGGCGGGCAGCTGATTGATGAGAAGGAGAGATGGGATGCCGAATCAGACAATTTCAGGTGCAAAGTCACGAAACAGCAATTCGAATGACACTCGACATGGAAATGGAATGGACGTGGGCACGCAGCTTCGAGTAGCACTGAGGCTCCAGGTGATGGAAGTGACGGAGGGTACGTACCGGGGAGGTACCTTACCTTAGGTTCTGTGACACGCGTTTCCACTTTACGCGTCAACCGAGCCCAGTCTAGAGCCACTTAACGCGCTTGCCCTTGACGCGTTGCACCTGAGACGCGACAGACCCTCATTTGGAGTTGAGGAGTGAGGAGCGGCCCCCCCATTCTTATTAGCAGCCTTCACTTTGCATATCCATTTATCTCCCTGGCACAGACTCGACATCCCAACCCCCCCCCCCCTCCTCCATCACCCCGACAACCCATCCCACCTTTCCATCGTACCCATTGCGCCTATCTGAAGCCATCGTCACATCAAGCGCGAACGATGAGGTGAGTTCGACTGACTCTTTTCTGAAGACGAGCCCTCGCTTCGTCTGCTCCTTCCTGCTCTTCCTGCTCTCCCTGCTCTGCCTGCTAACCGCCGCCCACAGTTCTCCCTTGCGCAACCACCCCAGTTCTGCCAACCGCGGCATTCCCGCGCGTCAAGTCGCAAACGATCACGCACCAACGGCGACGATGGCTCCTCCGTCGGACTTGCCTCGAGCCCCATGGCTTCGTCTCCGCCCGCCTTCAACATTGCCCACGGAGGAGACGACGACGACGACATTGAAGAGGATGTAGAGATTGAAGACGACCTCGACGACATGGACGAGGCCGCAGAGGATGACGTCGACCTTTTCCGCGAGGGTTTCGAACAAGACTACCGGAGCAAGGAGGATGACAGATACGAAGGGATCGATATCGACGACGAGGGCGAGTACGACCAGATGGACCCGGCCACCAGGAGGCAGCTCGAAGCGCAGCTCGCGCGCCGCGACGGTGAGGTCGCCCGTCGACAGCGCATTCCCGCCGCGTTCCTGCCCGGCGAGGATGACGATGGCGATATCGACCTCACAGCACAGCCCCGTCGCCGGCGACACGCCTATGACGAGGACCCCGACGATGCGATGGACGAAGACATCATGGACGAAGAGCTCTCGCTCGAGGCTCTCCAGGACGTCAAGGCAGGCGAGCCTGACCGACTGGGTGTCGCAGTCGTCCGTGCAGAGGACCATCAGCGAGGAGTTCAAGTCCTTC